AACCACTTTGAAGATAACAATATACAATATAATAACAATATAATATTATTTTTTTCTCTTTAAAATAAAAGAGAAATACTTTTATATGTGGGACATTAATGAAACACTTGGCGAAACTTAGACAATACTATATCCATATTTACTGTCTGATTTTTATTATTATGCTATGCCTGGCAAGATGGCGGAAGTGGAACAAAAGAAGAAGTTTACCTACTGCGGCGTGGACCTCGACCAGCTGCTGCATATGTCCTACGAACAACTGATGCAGCTCTATAGTGCTCGGCAGAGGAGGCGGCTGAACCGTGGACTTCGGTGGAAGCAGCATTTGCTACTGAAGCGTCTGCGCAAGGCCCAAAAGGAGGCACCACCCACGGAGAAGCCCGAGGTGGTGAAGACACACCTTCGAGACCTGATCATCCTGCCCAAGATGGTGGGCAGCATGGTGGGTGTCTACAATGGCAAGGCTTTCAATCAGGTGGAGATCAAGCCTGAGATGACTGGCCTCTACCTGGGCAAGTTCTCCATCACCTACAAGCCCATGAAGCATGGCCGGCCTGGCACTGGGGCCACTCACTCTTCTTGCTTCATCCCCCTCATGTAGCCACCTGGCCCATAAAGCCGCCACTGCCCCCCCCAAAAAAAGAGAAAGCCCTTGTTTTCCAGAAATGCACACTAAAGTATCAATAGGCAAACAAGCATCATGTTGGTAATGTGCTCTCAAACTGTTCAGGGGAAATGTAATTATAATATACATATATATATATATATATATTAATATAATATAGGGTAGCTTGGTGCTGACACATACCTGTAGTCCTCAGGACGGTAGGGCAGGAGGATTGATTGTGTGGCCAAGTTCAAGCCCAGCCTGGGACAGATGAGAGAAACGAGGGGGGGGACATGATAATGTGGAAAATCATTAACATTTGAGGAACTCACATGAAAGATATGCACAAATTCTTCGTTATTTTTGCAACTTTTCTGTAAGAGTAAAAAGGTTTTATAAGTAAAATCACCCCTCCCTGCAAAAAGTAGGAAGTAGATAACTGAAATATCTGTCAGGATTGCAGCAGGACCTCAGGAGCTGAGGGTGAACATTCTCCTTCCCAGCAGGACACCTGCTCTAGTGGATCATTTGTTTTTTGTTTTTTTTAATTTATTTATTTGTGTGTGTGTGTGTGTGTGTGTGTGTGTGTGTGTGGCCAGCTCAGCCCACCAGGGGGCGGGGCTGGCTGACATGTGGTGCTGGGGGATTGAACTGCGGTCCCTGTGCTTTTGTTTAGCTTAGCTTGTTCTAAGTAGGTGCCTTAGACCACTGAGCCATCTCACCAGCCCCTCTAGTGGATCATTTGGACAACAGATCCAAAGGAGTGATTTAAGACTTCCAGGGAGATGACAACAGTCTGGGCAAGAACTAAGGAAGGCCTGAATGAATGGAGGTAGTGCCAACATAACTAGAACATGAAAGGGACGCTTCTATCATCTGGTGATGAGCTGGACTTGAGTAAGAAAACAAGGTCTGTTTGGTGAAGTGTCTGGTTTCTTGCATAATCCATTGGTGGCACCACAGTCCTGTTTACCAAGATGGAGCAGGAAGTTTGTGGATGAGATGACTGGCTTTGGGCAACTTCTTAGAGCTGCTGAGGAGAGGGCTTGATTTTCAGGCCTGTGACTTGGGAGAGATCTGGGCTTTTTTTTTCCATAATTTTATTGATAAATAGCAATGAGACCGTTTCAAATCAAATCACTAGGACAGTTTCAATAATTAACACACTGCATACATTCTTCTTAGTGGTTAATTGCTATACAAGATGCGGACTTGAGATCCTATTTACAAACACCATTAGAACAAACCATTCTATTCATTAAGAGACTGCAACTATATATCTATCCTAACCACTTTGAGTACACAGATACAAAATGGACATTCATCTGTATACCCCTTTTTTGCTAAGTTCCGTTATTTGAATATTATAGGTGTGTAAACTCAGCAAAATATTCTAAAAGAGTCCAGTAGCCCATAATAGCATTGGGTCTTCTGTTTAACTGGCAATATCAGAAATTGTTGAGTGAGCTCTGGGCTTTAACCTAGGTTACTGCAGGTATCATTAGCATTGAAAAGGCAGAAGCCATGAAATAGGAAGAGACTATAGGAAGAGAGGGCAAAACAGAATCCCAGAAATCTCCAGCATCTAGGAGATTCCAATCCCACACTCTTTCGCCCACCCAAGAAAGTGGGCCATGATAATGTACAGCTGTAATTCCAGCACTATGGAAGGCTGAGGTAGAAGGATCAAAAATTCAATCCCAGCCAAGGCAATTTAGCAATTTAGTGAGAGCCTACCTCAAAAAAAAAAAAAATCAAAGAAGGGCTAAAGATACAACTCAGTGTAAAGGACCTGAGTTCAATCCTTGGTACGATAAAAAGAAAGGAAGGGAAGGGAAGGAAGGAAGGAAGAGAAAGAAGGAAGGAAGGGAGGGGAAGGGAAGGAAGAAAGGGAAGCAAGGGAAAGAAGGGATGGAGGGAAGAAGGGAGGAAAGGAGGGAGGAAGGAAGGGAGGAAGGAAGGAAGGAAAAAGAGGGAGAGGAAGAAGGGAACTAACCAATGAAGGGAAAAAAAAAGCTTTTCTCCAGATTCTTCTATCTCCACCAATGGAGGCTATTTGCCATCTTTTTCTTCCAACTGCATGTGTACAGGGACCCAGAAGGCTCCCACTAAGATAAGGAAACTAGACCCATCCTACCCATAGAAGTAGAGTGCAGGTTTTCTGACTCCTGTCATGGGAAAAGAATTTTCAGGATTGGTCTGCAAAGGCATGGGAAGGATTAGGCAGAAACTTAAAAGTACACACTCAAATAGTTTGGGCCCTCAAGAGGAGGTGGCAGGAAGAAAGAGAGAGGGAAGGACAGAGAGTGGAGAGCAAACCACTTTATAATCTGGAGGTGGGTATTTTTGTGGGATCTTGGGGGTGTCTTCAGAATGGGTGACCTTGGATCTGTATTACTACTGTCTGTGTGGTTTCCCATCTGTTAGGCTACACTAGAATAAAAATCACTTATGTGTGTTTGCATATGCTGCCCACTAACACTGTTGCTTCCTTGAGGATGGAGGTCTATAGGAGGAAATGCAATTTACAGGTGAAAAGCACAGGCCCAGAGCCCAATTTACAGGTTTATTATGTCTTTAAGAACTTTAGGGTTTTTAAAAAGACTTGAAGTGTTTGGCAGGGATTTAACTACATAGTTCATGTTGACCTCGAACTCAGATGATCCTCCTGCCTCAGCTTCCCGAGTACTTGGATTACAGGTGTATACCACCACAATCAGATGTACAGTTTCTTTTTAAAGTACAATTGTAAAATAAAAAGTTTAGGGGCTGGGAGATAGCTCAGTAGAATAAGCGCTTGACTGACAAGTGCAAGGGTCTGAGTTCGATCCCCGGTTCTGCCAAAATAAATAAATAAATAAATAAATAAATAAATAAATAAATAAAGTACAATTTTAAGGTCAGGCACAGTTGCTCACCATGATGAATTTGAGGCCAGTTTGGACTACATAAGCGAATTCAACACCAGCCTGAACATAGTGAAACCCTGTCTCAAAAAGACAAAAGAAAAAAAAAGCACAATTTTAGAACTCTGATTTTCCTTGTCACTCTTTTACCTACCAGTTTTTCATTCCTACCTCAGACGTGTGGTTTTGGAGGTCTGTTCACCTTATAGACTTGTATTTTCCCATCTGTAAAATAGGAAAATGGGAGCATAGTTGTCTTAAGTACCTCCCAGCGCCAACAGAAAATCAGTGAGGCTCTAAGTACCGGTTCTTCTAAATTACTGTCTTTAGGCCTTGAGCTGACCGGAGGTACACTGTATGCAGCTCACTAGTAGCATACTTGTCTAGCATGTGAACACAGTGGCTTCCACCTCCAACAATACAAAAAAAAAACTTGAGCTGAGATTGCACCAACCATTTTCTGCTTGCTTTGAGTTCCCTGATGTTGATTTTTAACCCTCCTACCTGGTGAATTAAAATTTACAACACCAAATTGATGGAGCTTTGACAGTACTAAAGGATTCTTTTTAACACAGTGTAAATAGGCCAGGGAGATAGCTCAGTGGCTTAAGTGCCTGCCTGGCAAGCACAAGGTCCTGAGTTCCATCTCTGGTACCGGGCGGGTGGGTGGGAGTAAAAAAAACACTGCAGATATCAGGGAATGGGTTACTAGGCTGAGATAAATAATGAGGTAATGTAACAATCTCAAGCATAGAGCTGAATGGTTTTTGATAACACACACACCTGTGCAATGCATGTCTCTTAGAGACCATTCTCATCCCCTACAAGTTTTCCTTACTCCTCTTGGCAGTTAATACCCGCATGTAAAAGCACCATTCTGGCTGACTCCTTCCCGTTAAAACACTTTTTAAGGCCTGGGGTTGTAACACAGTCATAAATCTTTACCTAGCTTTCTTATGAGACCCATCCCCAGCACCGCCAGAAAAAAAGCTGTCGACTTTTAAACTTGTGGGTTATTAAGAGCACGTATAAATTCAAGGGGCAGCCTTAGGAATACATTTGGGCGCTCAGGGAATTGAAGCTGAGGACTGCTCAGGATCAGGTTGTTGGGTTTTTATTTTTCCATGTGATTTTTACAATCAAATCAAATACACTCTTTTCTCTTCCGCACCAAAAACATTTTGCAAGAGTTGGCTTCCGCCCATCAGTGTCTTCCCGACCAGGTAGAGGGAGGATTTGTTTAATCGCTTTGTTCTTTCCTTTTTAAATCTGTTTGTGTTTAATTAGACCCTGATCTAATCTGTTAGGCACTTTAACTTTTGTTTGTTTAAGTAAAAGAAGTAAAAAGACAAACTTGAGCTGTCCAAGTTCAAACTCCGAAGTTCGGGTTCACTATGTCCCCGCCTCTCCACTCCCACCCGGTCCCACCCCCCGCACCCCACCCCCACCCCGTCCTTGCCCTTTGTGGCTTTGCAGGAATTCTTCCCGCTGCGGGAGCAGAGGGTACAGCGTTGGCCTTTGGAGGGAGCAGGAGGAGCGATCCGCGTAGCCTTGTCCTCAGGCCTGAGGCCATCCACCTGCCCAGCCGCTGTGTTCCAGGGACTTTTCCCTCCCCCGCAGTGCCTGACCTTGCGGCCACCAGAGAATCTCCGGCCTGGTGAGTGCCCAGATCGGCCCTCATTCTCCTAACCCCACCCCTGTGAAAGGCCCAAGCCGGGGTGCAGCAAGAGCAAACCGGCCCAGTCTCCCAACCAGGTGCATCGAGGAGGGAGAATGCCTAGCTCCCACCCGGAACCTGCTCAGAGCTCAACCGAGCTGGCAAGGGCACCAGCAGCAGAGGCCTGCGCTAGTTACCAGAGGGGCTCAGCCTTCATCTTCCCAGGGCCTTGCCATCGCTGTTGCTGATGCAGTGATGTAGGCCACAGCAGCGAGCGGGCAGGTAGATGCCCAGACTATGTGAAGACTGATGACCTGCACAGACATCCAGGAGCAGCCCGGGCCTCAGCTGCCTTTCTCCTCTCCTAACCACCTTTTTGCAGCCAGGGCCTAGTGCAGAAATGGGGCACCTGGCAGCCTCTGACTTGTGTGACAAAGGCAGAGCGGTAGGGTTAAAAGTCACTATTAAAAGGCAGTTTCTGGGGGCTGGGGAGATGGCTCAGTGGAATAAGTGCTTACCTGGCAAGCACAAGGGCCTGAGTTCGATTGCCGGTTCCAAAACATCAGCTTCTGATCTTGGGTCTTATGTAACATTGATAGTATGAAGGCCTTTGGAGTCTGAGCCAATTTTTAACATCCAGTGAACATTCCAAATGCAATGAGGCTGCCGGTCAGTATTTGAAACAACTTTGAGATAAGTGTAGGGTTTTTTTAAGTATAGTTTACTGAGGGAATGTTTGGGGGGTGCGGTAGGAGACAATCTCTTGCTATATACAGACTGGCCTTGTTCTTCCTATAGAGGTAGCCCTGACTATTGAAAGAAATATTAAAACAAAGATCAGTTTTCTCCCTTCTTTCTTATTCATTTGTCCACACATGTGTGGGACCACTTGGTTAAAGCAGATAGACACCAGCCAAAGCCCTTGGACGCCAGTAATTTTGACCCTCTGGAAATCTGCCTATTGAAAGCAGAATGGGGCAAAAAGAAAGATGCTCCCATGAATGAGAATGGAAAGAACTCACCAAATAGGGCAAACAAACACAGGAGAATAAGAGGTAAAAAAAAAAAAAAAAAAAAAAAAGGAAAGATGCTGTTGAAAGTTGCCTGTCTGCCACACAGGATTCTTATCTGATCAGTTTGGGTTTTTCTTTTCCAATAACTCTTTTTCTTCTCCTAATTTACTGATGAAAGTCTCTGGCCTAAAGTCCCAGAACGGAATGTTCCTTACTTGTGGAGCTCAAGACTCCTTGCCATACTGGCCCACGCCTTCCCTTCCTGGGACGCAAGAGGAGAGCTCAGTTCCTCCTGTGGCGCCTAGCAGGTGTCCTTTTCTCCATTCTTTCCATTGTGTGAATTTGAAAGTGGATTTAGGGGATGCTAGGGATGGGCCCCAGGGGTTCAAGCATGCTAAGTATGTGTTCCACTGCTGATTACACCCCCAGCTCCTGGATGTTAACTCTAAGTTAGTGCATAATTACTGGTGAATGGATTTCTAAAAATACAGATCAGGAAGGCCCTGGCTTCCAAGGGGATCAATAGCGCCCACAGATGGAAGAAGAGAAGACAGCAGGAGACAGAGGGGCCACCAATGAGGGAGCTGCCCGCCCACACCATCCCTAGGGGTCAGGGTGCTGACATAAAGAGCAACCTTGCACTCTCCAAACAGCCAGCTCTCTGAGGGTCACCAGCGCCAAGGTGTGAGTGTCAGAGTATCACTCTTCTTTTATAGACAGCTTAAATACAAAAAAAAGCAACCCCATTGGTAAGTTGATTGAAAATGTCTCCTGTTATCTCGTGTCAGCTATTTCTTCTTCCTCTTACATGTCTCCTCCTGTCACATGGCTGCTCTTAGTCTGACTTTGGGAAAGTAAGCCCAGTTTTTCCAGTTCTGATCAAACACAGCCATACCTCTGAGAAGTGGTGAGTTGGGTTATAGATTACTGTGATAAAGCAAATTTCATAAGAAAATGAGACACACTTTTTTTGTTTCCCAGTGCATAGAGCAGTTATGTGTCATACTTCACAGTATTAAGTGTCCATTAGCATTATGTCTTTAAAATGTGCAAACCTTAATTTTAAAAATACTTTCTTTTTTTTTTTCTTTTTGGCACCGAATGCCTTCAGGGCAGGTTTGGCTGGCTGGAGTTGTGGGGATGAACCACAGCAACCTGAGCCTGACTGCTTTGTTGAAGCAGCCACTTAAAGGACTGAGCTAAGGGGCAGGCCCCCTAAAAATAGTTTCTTAAAGGGTGTGGTGGCACATGCCTGTTGAGGACTGCTATGAGTTCGAAACCAGCCTGGACTACACAGTGAGTTCAAGGCCAGCCTGAACTGCATGACGAGACACTGTCTGAAGAAACAAAAAACCTTCAATTTGTAAAAAGTGCAGTATCTGCAAAGCATCTTAAAATAAAGTGTGTCTGAGAGTCTTATCAAGGTCTCCAGCCTGGTATGGGACTGAATTGGCTGGATACAATTATGTTTCACTTGTTCTCTTTGGTAGGTTTCTGCATAACAATGTCTTCCATTAAAATTGAGTGTGTCTTGCCTGAGAACTGCCGGTGTGGTGAGTCTCCAGTATGGGAGGAAGCATCCAACTCCCTGCTCTTCGTAGACATTCCTGCAAAACGGGTTTGCCGGTGGAATTCACTCACCAAGCAAGTACAGCGAGTGACCATGGGTAAGGATGAAGGTCCAGCTCACATCTTTGCAGTCAAGCATCCTTTCCTAGGGAAGAAGTAGTCATCATGTTTGTTCTTCTCCTGGGACCATACCAAATATGCTTTAAGATCTTTTGATTTGTTGCGCTCCATGTCCTCCCACTTTGACCCAGGAGTAAACGTTGGATCATCAGTACTTTCCTCATCCTCTTCCAGTGAGGGGCAACACTCCCAGTGTCTATCTGTCCTTAACGCACTTATATACAGCAGCATTGAAATTTGAAGTCTAGGGCTGGGGAGATGGCTCAGTACAATAAGTGCTTGCCTGGCAAGTGCAAGGACCTGAGTTCAATCCCCCGGTTCCACAAAAAAAAGAAAGAAATTTGAGGTCTAGGCTAATGGCACAGCAAAGGCCATCTGCCTTGGGTCAAGCCAAGACCTTAATTTAAAGAAAAATAAAAAATAAGTTGATCTCTTCTTTGCATGTGAAAAGGTCTTTTGCAAGCGAAAATGTCAGAGACATAGCTCAGTGGCATAGCACTTGCCTGGCACAGTTTTATCCCTAGCACTGGGGCGAGGAGGGGGACGACGTATCAACCAGGGCAATCTTTGTTCACTGCTCAAATGTAGGATTTTTTTTTTCTTTTTTCCCGGAACCGGGGATTGAACTCAGGCCCTTGAGCTTGCCAGAGAAGTGCTTATTCTACTTAGCCATCTCCCCGGCCCCTTCGAATGTAGGATTCTGATGGAATCCTGTGTGCATTTCAGTGTGATTCCATTTAGGGCCCTGTGGTTTCCAGAGAAGGAGTCTATCACTCTATGGCTTAGGCTATGGGCTGACATGATTAGTGATAGAGAAAGTAGTTTCTTTTTTTCATTATTCTGTTTATGGGAATGAGATATCAGGAGTTCCTATAACCTTGGGAATACACAGAAATTCCTAGTATCTTTTCCCATGAATCCACTGAGGGATCACCATCAATATATATTCTCCCTCTCCATCTCCCTCTCCTTCCCTCATCCTGGGATTAGCACTCAGGGCCTTGAATATACTAAGCATGCACTGTCCCACTGAACTACAGCACCAGCCTCCTGGGAGCAGCCTTTTTCTAGCAGTATTGAGGATTGAGTTTAGGGCCTCTGCACTGAGTTACATCCCCAGCCCCATTTTTATTTTTCATTTTTAGACAGTGTTTCACCAAGCTGCCTAGGCTGGGCTGGAACTTTCCAGCCTCCTATCTCAGTCTCCCAAAGTGAGAACAGCTTTTTTACCTAACTATGATAATGACTGCTGCTGGAAGCAAAGTGAGTGTGGCTCTGAGGGCAGAGCAGGGCTGTAGACCCATCACCTTCCCTAATGTGTTCCTTCCAGCATGTATATGTGCCCACCCCAAACCTGCAAAGCCCTGCTCTCAACAAGCAAGAAGGGGGCAGGGGAGATGGCTCAGTAGAATAAGCACTTGCCTGACAAGTACAAGGGCCTGAGTTCAATCCCCGGTTCCGCAAAAAAAAAAAAAAAAAAGCAAGAAGGGCTGGTGTGTCTGCAGCAGCTCAGAAAGCTGCTCAGAAAGCTTCCAAGAGGTGTCTCAAGCTTCTCACGGGTCACGGAGACCCTTGATGAAAGCACAACCCTCCTTATAGTGTCCTGCACAATCCCTGGGACCCTCAATGACATAAGTCAACCTCTGAGCAGGGCTTTGAGCTACAAGTACCCAACACTCTGCCCTGAGTGGGTACTGTAGAAAATTTTGTGGTTTTTTTAATCACATATTTATTTATTTATTTATTTATTTATTTATTTATTGGATACAGGGTCTCGCTACACAGCTGGGACTCAAAGTGATCCTGCTGTCTCAGCCTCTCCAGTGCTGGCACTACAGGTGTGCACCACCATGCCCTGTTTTTTAGGAAATTTCTGATAAATTTATTTCTATTATCTGTTCACCCTTATAATCTATTTTCCACAGATTTTTTGGGGGAGAGTACTGGGGATTAAACCCTTAGCTTCAAATATGCTAGTCAAGGGCTCTACCACTGAACTACAGCAGCAGCACTAATCTCTCCACATTTTTTTTTCAGTCTCACTATGTAGTTCAGACTGCCGTTAAACTCATTGTGCAACCCAGGATGGCCTCGAACTCGTGATCTCAGCTTCCTGAGTGCTTGGGTTACTGGCATGCACCACAACACTTGCCAACCTCTCCATTTTAGAAAAAGTTTTCAGGGTTGGGAATTTAGTTCAGTGACAGAGTGTGTGTTTAACATGTGCAAGGACCAGGAGTTTAATTCCCAGCACCCCCCAAAAAGTTTTCTTATACATAGAAAATAACAAGCTCAGAAAACCTAAAATTTCAAAATGCAAAATATAATGAAGAGATGTGATTATATTATCCTGCATCTGTAGTCCTTTTTTCACCATGCTTCCTTCCCAAGAAGATGTGAGAGATAGTTTTCAATTGAATACATAAAAAAACTCCTTTAAAAGCAGAAGAGTTGGGGCTGGGAATGTGGTTCAGGGCTAGAGGACTTGCCTAGCATGTAGAAATTCCTAAGTTTGCTCCCCAGCACCACAGGCACACAAAAGACAAATACTATATTACAAGAGAAGAGCAATGTAACAAAACTTAGTTGCTGGAAGTAAACACAGTTGGCATCTCCAAATTTCCTGGAGATCAGATAAATTGTGCATAGCACATTCTGCGATGACTCCTGGGGCCCTTCAGTTAGGACCAGCTGGTGCACTTGCTGTGGCACCTGCCCCAAAGAACTGTATTTCACCTGTTGTGGTTTGACAGTTTTGTGAGAAGCAGAAGAGCGGAGAAGGGAGAGGAGAGAGAGAGGGAGACAGACAAAAAGAGGGAGGAAGGAGAGAGAGAGAAAGAGATAGAAACAGACAAAGACAGAGTCAGAGTCAGAGTCAGAGTCAGAGTGAGAGTGAGAGACAGTCTTGCTATGGTCCAAGCTGGCCTAGAGCTAGCTATCCAGCAGCCCAGACTGGCCTTGCACTCTCTTTCCTCTGTCCCTCAGGCTCTTTGCCCCAGTAGCTGCTGTGTTTGACTCCTGTTTCTCCCAAAAGCCTGGGAGCATTCAGAAGAGTTGGATTCATCTTTCTAGTTTTGTTGCCTAGGATGGTGTACACAGTTCACACTCAACAACCATTCAAGGTTATGCTGCCTTTCTTGTTTAGCAGAAGAAAAAGCTTCACTTCTCCCGCTGTCAAAATTGCTGGGTCTCTTCTCTAAGAGCTGTCAGGTGATAGGATGGCCTCAGTGTGCTCTTCAGCCCCGGGACCGCTCACTGCCTTCTGACAGCTGTTCTTGCCTCTACAGATGCCCCAGTCAGCTCGGTGGCCCTTCGCCAGAAGGGAGGCTATGTCGCCACCAGCGGAACAAAGTTCTGTGCTTTGAACTGGGAAGATGGGTCAACAGTAGTCCTGGCCCAGGTGGATCAAGATAAGAAAAATAATCGATTCAATGATGGAAAAGTAGATCCTGCTGGGAGATACTTTGCTGGTAAGACTTCTTTTTAGCCTCTACTTTGTTCAGCTTTGCAAGAAAAACTATGAAACGAGGAAGTGCTGGGTGCTACAGTGAACAAAATGTTACTCAGATGGGCTTGGGGTTCTTTTAATTTTTTCCCTTTACTTTTTTTTTTTTTTTTTTTTTTTTTGGAACTGGGGATTGAACTCAGACCCTTGCGCTTGCCAGGGAAGCGCTCATTCCACTGAGCCATCTCCCTGGCCCCAAAGTGTGGGCATTGCTATTTTTTTTTAATTTATTTCCTAGAGCTGCACAAAATACATATTCATTGTGGCTCAGATGCTAATTTGAGGACAGAAAAATGCTTCACCATCTCTTTGAATTTGACACCTTTCTTTTTTTTTTTTTTTACAGTACTGGGGATTGAACTCAGGACCCCGCGCTTGCCAGGAAAGCGCTTAGTCCACTGAGACATCTCCCTGGCCCATTTCCTTTATTTAAAAGAAAAAATGGGGCCAGGGAGATGGCTCAGTGGACTAAGTGCTTCCCTGGCAAGCACAGGAGCCTGAGTTCAATCCCCAGCTCGGCAAAAAAATAAAAAATAACTTTATTTGTACATTTTAGGTATAAATAAGGATCACATTCATCATAGAAAATTAGTACCTGTATGTGATGTATCTTGATTCTTCTTTATTACCCATTCCCCTACCCTCCCTTCAATATCCTCTTCCTGTCCTTATGTACAAAAGCTTTGATTCCATTTTTTTCTTCTTTTCTCATTTTTTTCTTTGCCCTTCTTTCTTTTCCTCTCCCCCTCTAGTTTCCCTTCCCATTTGAACATTTTCTTTCTATTTCACAATATCTATTATAGATTTTGGTCCTTATTTATACTTTTAATTTCTCATGCCAGAGAAACAACATGATATTTACCCAAATGTGTCAAATTTGTTTCACATAAGAGTATGGCCTCACATTGCATCTATTTACCTAGAAATGTCTCAACTTTATCCATCTGTGGGGCTGATAAAATGGGCATCTGAAATGAATACACATGTGTCAGATGAAGAAGTAAAAATGGCAAATAAATACATGAAAAAAATGTTCCACATCACTGGTCATTTGAGAAATGCAAATTAAAACAACACTAAAATTCCATCTCCCCCCAGAAAGAATGGCTATCATCATGAAGTCAACCAATGACAAATGCTGGAAAGACTGTGGGGGAAAATGAATACATTGTTGGTGGGAGTGCAGACTAGTACAAACACTATGGAAATCAGGGGCCGGGGACATAGCTCAGTAGAATAAATATTGGCCTGGTAAGCACAAGGTCCTGAGTTCAATCCCTGGTACCACCAAAAAAAAAAAAAAAGAAAAGAAAAGAAAAGAAAGAAAGAAAGAAACGATGGAAATCAGTGTGGAGATTCTTCAAAAAACTAGGATTAGAAGTCCCACTGAATCCAGATATCCCCTCCTGAGTTTTTTCCAGAAGAGCTGAAAACATTATAACACAGTGATATATGTGCACCCATGTTTATAGCAGCACCATTTGTCATAGCCAGATCTTGGAAATAGCACGGATGCCCATCAGCTGAGGAATAGACAATGATGTAGTTTTGGGAGGTTCTTTCTCTTTTGTACTGCTGGGGATTGAACCCATAACCTCACTAATGCCAGGCAAGCATTAAAAGCCCTTAACTTTATTTACCCTCAGTCCTTTTCTTTTATTGTTACCTGAGTAACTTGTACCACTAAAAAAAAGATACTTTTTTCTATTTCTCTCTATAGCAGAAACTAATAACTATATGGTATTTTTTGGTTTTTGTTGCATTGGGAGTGGAGCCCAGGGCCTTATGAACGCCAGCCATGTGCTCTACCGCTAAGCTATGTCCCCATCCCTCCTAAGCTGAAAACATTTCAAAATTTACAGGAAAGCTAAGAATAGTACAACCATCATTCATATACCTACTGTCACCTGTTGTCAATGTTTTGTTCCCCTAGTTTTAACATCTGGTCTCTCTATGTCTAAACATAATTTTCCCTGGAGGAACCAAGATGAAAACAGGCTGTATATATATGGCATGTCTATACCTCTGAAATATTTCATGGTGTCTCCCAAGAAAAATGGCATAATCTTAGATGGCCACAGTTCAGTTATCAGCTGAAAGAAGTTTAACATTGATGCAGCAATTTTATCTGATGTTCTGTCTATATTTCAGTTATGTTGATTAACTGAATAATAGCCTTACAGAATTGTTTCCTCCAGCCAGGTACAGTGTCACACACCTGTAATCCCAGAACTCAGAGGTCTGAGACAGGAAAATCATCATAAATTTGAGGCCAGCCTGAGCTACAAAGTAAGTGCAAGGCTAGCCTGAAATACATAGCGAAATCCTGTCTCCAAAAAAAGACAAAAAGAGAAAAGAATTGTTCCCTCCAGTAAAGGATCTAGGATGATGTTTTATATTTACTTTCTTTATCTTTTCATCCTCTTAATCTGGAACATTTCTCTGGCCTCTTTTTGTTTTTATGACAGAGGCATTTTGAAAGTATATGGGCCCCAGCTCCCCTTTTAATAGAATAGTCTTCATTTTGTAGTTATCTGATATTTCCTTGTGGTTGGCTTGATATTCTACAGTACATTCTTGGCTGGAGTACTGTGTCCTTCTCAGGATGTCCCATCTGGAGGCACATGATGTCCATCTGCCCCATATTGGTGATATTAATGTTGATGACCTGGTTAAGGTCCTATAAGGTTTTTGTTTTGTTTTGTTTTGTTTTTTTGTGGAACCGGGGATTGAACGCAGGCCCTTGCGCTTGACAGGCAAGTGCTTATTCTACTGAGCCATCTCCCCAGCCCTATTATTTTGGATTTGTTCTGCTTTTTGAATCTCATTTTATGCTTTCACCAAGCTTGAGGAATTTTGAGCCAAGTAATCTGCAAGTTTTGGGGGGTGTAGTCTCTTCTCTAGGGACCCAGATATGCATTTTGTTCTGATCCCATAAGTCCCTGAGGCTCTGTTCATTTTTCTTCCAATCTTTTTTTCTCTGTGTTGTTCAGCTAGCATAATTTCTATTGCTCCATCCTCAGGTACACTGACCCTTTTCTCTGTCATCACTGTCCTACTATTGATGAGTAGATCCAGCGTGTTTTAAAATTTCTAAAGTTTTCATTTGAGCTGGGCATGGTGGTGCACACCTGTAATCCCAGCACTCAGGAAAGGCTGAGGCAGGAGAGTTGCTGTAAGTTCAAGGCCAGCTTGGGCTATATCATGAGACTCTGTCTCAAAAAAGTGAAAAAGAAGTTACTTGGTACTGCAATTTGTATACTGAATGGCCTCCAAGGATCTACTTTAAGGTCTCGGTTTCTGGAGTACTGCTGCGGGGAGGTGCTGTGGACCCTTGGTAGGCACTGTGGGCAGTCCTTAGGTCAGAAGAGGACTAGGAGACCTTGGCCAGTCCAGTTGCCCTTTGTCCCTGGCTCATAAGGTAAGCAGTTTTCTCTGCTCTGCTTTCTCCTGTAACCTGCTGCCTTGCCAAGAGAAGGGGACCACTCGATCATGCACTGGAACCACAAGCTAACCTAAGCCTACTTTCTTTTCTTTTCTTTTCTTTTTTTTTTTCAGAACCAGGGATTGAACTCAGGCCCTTGCGCTTGCCAGGGAAGCACTTATTCCACTGAGCCATCTCCCCACCCCCCTAAGCCTACTTTCTTTTTCTTCTTCTCCTGCTAATACTTCTCCTTATCTCCTATTAGTACTCATATACTTGGAAACACAAAGAAGGATGAAAATCTCAACTTGTACCAAAGAAATCAGTGAATTCTGAAAATGATATAGTATAAATATTAGAATTGTCAAAGAGTGATGCAACCATCATAGAAACTTAAATTATTATAAACAGTTATTTTTCGGGGGGGGGATTGTATGTGTTTTTGAGACAGGGTCTTACTATGCAGTTCAGGCTGGGCTTGAGCTCAATTTGTAGCCCAGGCTGGCCTTGAACTCACAGCGATCCTCCTGCCTCAGCCTGTGAAGTGCTGGGATTATACACATGCGCCACCATGCCTGGCTTAACAGTCTTGAAACAAAACGCAAAATAGAAAATAACAACAAAGAAATAGAAGGCATGAAGAATAATCAAATGAAAGTTATACTTTTTGTTTAGTTTTCTTTTTTCTTTTTTTTAAAAAAATAGGGTCTCACTAGGTAGTCCAGGCTGGCCTTGAATTCACTATGTAGCACAAATTAGCTTCAAACTTGTGGCAATCCTCCTGCCTGAGCCTCCCCAGTTCAGGGATTACAAGCATGCAATACCATAGCTGGCCTTATAATTTTTTAAGTACTAAGAGAGTTGACCCCAAGAAATGCTGAGTGATATCCCCAACTTTGTTTGTTTGTTTGTTTGTTTGTGACAGTCTTGGCTAAATTGTCCAGACTGACCTTGAAGTTTTCATCCTTCTCCCAAGAAGCTGGGATGACAGGCATGCCATAATTACAGGAACATTTGGCTCTAGCAGTGCTTATATCCTAGACATTTTGAATATTGTTATTAGACCCTGAGTTCTGTTTCAGTCCTTTGGGACATGTTGTTAATAGTAGTTTTAGTAGGCAAAACTATGCATCTATATGAGGTAAGGCTTTCTATTAGATGCTATGGGGCTCTGCCACATACACGTGTCTCTCAGTGGTCAGTCTGGGATACAAGGAATTCCGTTCATTAGCTTCACTCCAAAAATCTTCATTTTAAAAATTAGAATCTGTCCCATGTGGTTGCAACTTGGAGATGAGCCTAGAAGTTCATAAAGACCTTATAGAGTTGTATTCCTAAGCAACTGCTTGTCTCTCAGAGCTCTCCTTTTCATTCCTCTAACCACTCCTATAATTGTAAAGCCTCCAGGGCCAAGCAGCAGGAAGATGTGGAAAGAGTATGAAAGCCATAGAGTTAAAAAACAAATAAAAAGAGAGAGAAAACAGAATAAGCAGCAGGCATGGTGGTACACACCTGTAACCCCAGCAGTCAGGGGGCTGAGGCAGGCGGATCACTGTGAGTTCAAGGCCATCATGGGCTACAAAGTGAGTTCAGGGCCAGCCTGCACCGGACAGGGAGACCCTGTCTCAAAAGACAATAATAAAAACAAGCAAACAAAAAAGAAGTGGATAAAATTACCAGGTGTGGTAGTGCATACTCATAACCCAGCAGCCAGGGAGGGTGAGGCAGTAGGGTCCCAAGGTTGAGCCTCAGGCCGGGAAATATTCTTTTTTCTTTTTAAGACAGAGTCTTTCTCTGTAATTCAGGCTGGCCTTAAACTAACTTCGTAGCCCAGGCTTGCACTGTACTCTCAGTGATCCTCCTGCCTCAGCCTCCTGAACACTGGGATTACAGGTGTGCTCCACCATGCCTGGCAACAACTTAATGAAACCCTGTCTTAAAATAAGAAACGAGAGAGGCAAGGTAGGATGTAGCTCCATGTGAAGTGCCAGGGCTTAATTCTCAGTACTGCAAAGTAGATAAATAAAAGCAATAGTGGTTGGATCTCCCCTTTGGATCTGCACATAGCCTCACCAAATAGAGAAGAATGTCCTCTTCCCTCAGAGTTTTCATGGCATAAGTTTCCTATTGCTGGCCACTCTCTCTGCGGCCCCTGCTGAAAAACTGTCTAGGGCTCGGGTACATGAGACAATAGACAAAAAAGAACAGAAAGCACGCTTGGGGTTTCCTCCACTCCTTCTGTGCTTCAGGAGTTCGTGTGTGTGTGTGTGTGTGTGTGTGTGTGTGTGTGTGTGTGCCTGTGTGTGTGTATTGCTGGAGTGGAACCCAGGATTTCGTGCATGCTAGGTGGGTGCTCTACTACTGAATTATACCCCCATCCCAGGGATTTATTTCTGCTGCTAGAACCAGATATAGAGGGTTTCTCTGAGGTCTCTTCTGTCTGCACCCCAGATTTCAGGCTGTGTTGACATCAAGCCAGGAGATACTGAAGAAGCAAATGGAGAGCTCGCCACTAGTTAGGTGGTACTTGCTGGTCTGCTGTGCTTCCCTGCACTGCCTGTCAATACTTTCAAAGTTCTCAAGCAGCTGAACTATGAGTGTTATCCAGGTGTTTTTAAGATTTATTTATTTGATACAGTGTCTTGCTGCGCAGTTGTGACTCACAGTGATCCTCCTGTCTCAGCCTCCCCAGTACTGGAATTACAGGTGTGCGTGCGCCACCACACCCGGTTTCAGTGGCCAGCAAAACACAGGACTGGCATGGCATGTAGTACCAGGGATTGAATCTTTGCACTTGCCAGGCAGGCACATAGACTGCTGATCTATCTCCCTGGCCTTGTCCAGGTTTTGTGGTTGGAGAATATGAGGTTAATGCATGTTTACTGTCTTATTTGAAACCAAAATTTCTCAACATAGTGTTAATTTGCATTATAAACAAGATAGTTGTACTTTTTTCTTTTATTTCTAGTTTTGGGAGTACTAGGGATTGAACCCAGAGAGCAATGAGTTATCCCCAGGTATACAAATGTATGTGTGTATGTATGTTTGTATTTTTTGAGACAGAGACTAAGTAACCCAAGCAGGCCTTGAATTTAAGACCCTCCAGGGACCTGGGGAGATAGCTCAGTAGAATAAGCAGTTGACTGGCAAGCACAGGATCCTGAGTTCAATTCCCAGTACTGGAAAAAAAAAAAACAACCCGACCCTCCTGTCTCAGGAGGGGTCTAATATGCTGGGATTACAGGCATGGTCCACCACACCAACAATAGTTGTCATCTTATAAAAATATAAGACACAAATTATGACTGATATAATAATTTCCTTGTTTCAAGCCTTGGAGAGTATACCTGATGTGAGATGAAAGTGCCATACATGGGCAACATGCTATGGGGTTGATCGCGTGCTTTTTTGGCTTTTGTAGGCACCATGGCTGAGGAAACCGCCCCAGCAGTTCTTGAGCGACACCAGGGGGCGCTCTACTCCCTTTTTCCCAACCACCATGTGAAGAAGTATTTTGACCAGGTAGACATCTCAAATGGTTTGGATTGGTCCCTGGACCACAAAATCTTCTATTACATCGACAGCCTGTCCTACTCCGTGGATGCCTTTGACTATGACCTGCAGACAGGACATATCTGTATGTATTCTCTTATTTTTTTTCCATACTGCTGCTATTGTTTTCAGATATTTGTCACCAGTAAGACAACTCTGTCAACACGTAGAGAGCTTCTCAATGTTATTAAATATAATAATGATTATGCAGACTTGACTAAGCTGCCGGTCAGACCACTGCCCTCAACACAATGAAAATATGGAGAATTTAGTCCTCTTTCCGCCATCACTGGAAGGGGCTCTCTAGAAGATGGATCTTGGGGCTGGGAGATGGCTCAGTGGAATAAGTGCTTACCTGGCAAGCACAGGGGCCTGAGTTCAATCTCCGGTTCTGGAAAAAAAAATGAAGATGGATCCTGTACTACCAGAGGGTGACTACAGGGAAATCATGTTCAATAGCATGAGATAAAAGAATCGACAATGTGAGTTTGAATTGCTAGTTATTTTTGTGACAGGGTCTCACTGTAATTAAGGCTGGCTTTGAATTCACTGTGTAGCCCTGGCTGGCCTCCAACTCATGGTGATCCTCCTGCCTCAGCCTCCTGAGTGCTAGAGTGACAGGAATATATCACTATGCCTTGTTCTAGGGCTCTGTGTGTGTGTGTGTGTGTATGTGTGTGTGTGTGTGTGTGTGTGTGTGTGTGTATGTGTGTGTGTATGTCTTTTTGAGACAGGGTTTTACTATGCAGTTCAGGCTGGCCTTGAATTCACATTTAGCCTAGGCTGGCCTCAAACTCACATCGATCTTCCTGCCTCAGCCTCCCAAGTGCTAGAATTACAGGCATGTCCTACCACATTCTTTTTTTTCTTTTGGCAGTACTGACCTACTAATTCTTTTTTTTCTTTTGGCAGTACTGGGAATTGGCACTACTGAAGATTCAATCTAGGGCCTTGTACATACTGGACAAATGCTTTACCATTGAGCAACCCTCTTAAAATTTTATTTTGAGAAAAGTCCCACTAAGTTTCCCAGGCTAGCGTCATACCTCCGATCCTCCTGCCTCAGTCTCAGGTAGCTGTGATCATAGGCACATGTCACTATACCTGGCTAGGTTTCTATTTCTTATTTGTACATTACGTATTGATAGGCAAGTACAAGGAGGCAAAATGGATAATCTTTGAAAAATGGAAAGGCAGAAAAAGTTGGTGTAGTTTGGGTCAGCTGCATTGAGAGTCCTTGACCTACAATATTTAAATGACAATGGAATGCCCTTCTTTGACAAAACTAGACAAAAAAGGGGATACAAATGAATGGCCATTTGGTGTCTGTATAGTCAAAATAGTTAGGATAGATATACAGCTGCATTCTCTTAATTCAATGAGTAGAGTGATTTGTTCTAATAGTGTTTGTGGACAGATATCATGTCTGCATCTTGTACAATGAATAACCACTAAGACAACAATATGCAATGTATTAATTATTGAAACTGTGCTAGTAATCAGTTTTGAAATTGTCTTGGGCTGGTGAGATGGCTCAGTGGTCTAAAGCACCTACTTAGAACAAGCTTAGCAAAGCCCAGGGACCGCGGTTCGATCCCCCAGCACCACATGCCAGCCAGCCCTGCCCCCTGGTGGGCTGAGCTGGCCACACACACACACACACACACAAATAATTTTTTTTTTGGCGGAACCGGGGATTGAACTCAGGCCCTTGCGCTTGCCAGGGAAGTGTTTATTCCACTGAGCCATCTCCCCGGCCCCTAATAAATAAAATTTAAAAAAAAAATTTGTAAAAAAAAAAAAAAGAAACTGTCTCATTGCTATTTGTTTCTCAATAAAATTATAAAAAAAAAAAGAGAGAGAGAGAGTCCTTGAAACTGGTAATATGTGCTAGATCAAAAAAGCAAAACTGGAGCTGGGGAGATAGCTCAGTAGAATAAGCATTTGCCTGGCAAGTACAAGGTCCTGAGTTCAATCCCTGGTTCCATCAAAAAAAAAAAAAAGCAAAACCAGTCATAAAAATGACTTGAAAAAAATCATATGATTCTTCATGTAGATTTAATCAGAGACAAAATATTCCAATACAAATACTTAGCTTTGAAATAGTATCCAGGTATGTTGGCACATATCTGTAGTCCCAGCAGTTGGGAGTCTGAGACAGGAAGATCGCTATGAGTCTGAGGCCACCCTGGGCTACATGGCAAGACCCTGTCTCAAAAAAGAAAAAGATCCCTGGCAAGCACCAGGGTCTGAGTTCAATCCCCAGTTCCACAAAAAAAAAAAAGAAAAGAAATATAACTTTTTAACTCACTTTCCTTACACATGCTTTTAACAATTTTCCCGTTATACTCCAAACAGATTACTGTACTGACTGGGATTTTTCTTTCTTTCTTTACTGGGGATTGAACTCAAGATCTCATCCTCTGCTCTGGCACTTAGTTACATCGCTAGTTTTAATTTTACTTTTTTTTTTGATACAGGCCTTGACTAACCTCAAATTTACAATCCTCTTGTTTCAGCCTCCCAAGTGCTGGGATCACAAGCATGGGCCTCCAAGACCTGACTTCTCTGGATTTTTTTTTCTCACAGTACTGAGTATTGGATACAGGATCTTCACACTGAGCTATATCCCTAGCCTTTATATTAAAAATATTTTTTATTTTGAAATAGGGTCTCATTAAGTGCTAAATTGCCCAGGCTGGGCTCGAACTTGCAATAATTTCCCTCAACTCTCCAGAATATTGGAATTACAGGCCTGTGCCACCATGCCTAGTTTGCTCCTCTGGCTTTTCTTTGAGA